AAGTCTACATCGATCCTTTAACTTCTCGAAGATTTATCCAAGTTTCATCATGATAGTACAAATGAGCGTTAGCTTCTTTGAACTCTTCCAGGGTCTGAAAATATTTTGCTCTTGCTGCAACCAAAGCCTGTGAATCCAATGCAATTTTTATTTTTGATGCCCGTTGATAGATAAAATTAAACTGAAAAATATTAAAAGGCGGTATGTTGCTTTTCTTTCTTTTTTGTCTACGTGAAAATAATATTTCGCTTACATTTCTCTTTTTTCTATGCAATGTACTTGTCGAACGAATAGGAAAATCTTCCTATTGCTCTGTCAACCTTTTCTGCAATTTTTCCGAAGTTGGATACAATTTTTCTTGAATTAGTTTATGAAATTCAAGTCTAATCAAATCTTTTTCTTGCTCAGATAGAACGATCTTCGGATGACCAGAATGCACTGAAAATATTTAAGTGAAAAATCTCTTACTCTTCTTCTGAGGAAGCAATGCTTGAGGAACAAGATGGTCGATATGATTTGTTGATGAATAAGCAGAAGACGCAGTATGCCGACGACCAAGAATTTTAGCTGATGCATTAGATGTTGAATATTGATGTTCGTTAAGTGTTGGATATACGATAGTGCGACTACGAAGATTTCTCACAAGTATCTCTGCTTTCCTTCCCTCTTCTGTCTTTTGTTGTTTCTCTGATATTTTCTTTATTTCTTTGCACCTTGAATGGTGGAATTCATGCGTTAATCTGTACACTGATCTTTCCGAGATATTTAACATTTTAACACGACGATTTTTCACATTACAAAGAGCGGTGATTGAACCGCTTTTCTCACTTTCAACAAAATCAATAATATGAAACATTAGTTGTTTCACATCTCCTAAAAATTCATGACCTGTCGGCATAGTAATCAAATTGATTATTCCCTCGACTGAAAGGAGGGTCATACGAAATAAAATGCGTTTGTTTTCTTGTTTGTTTGTTTGCTTGCATGAGGTCAAAAAAACATATATAAGAGGTTAACTTATTTTAAGACTTTTGGCCATTTTTATTAAACTTTGCTGTAGGTTATCGAGGGCCCTGAATCCGAATCCGCAGCCCATTTTTTTGGCCGAGGCTTCATTGGTCAGGAATCGACCAATCAGAAATGAGTTTTTTTATTTTAAGACTTTTGGCCATTTTGATTAAACTTTGCTATAGGTTATCGAGGGCCCTGAATCCGAATCCGCAGCCCATTTTTTTGGCCGAGGTTTCATTAGTCAGGAATCGACCAATCAGAAATGAGCTTTTTTATTTTAAGACTTTTGGCCATTTTATTAAACTTTGCTATAGGTTATCGAGGGCCCTGAATCCGAATCCGAAGCCCATTTCGTTGGCCACGATTTCATTGGCCAGAAACGGGCCAATCAGAAACGAACTTTCTTATTTGAAGACTTTTGGCCGTTTTAATGGCACTTTGGTATCGGAACGAAATCTTTGTTTTGGATGTGGTACGGTTTTATCAAAGATACTGCAATAGAGAGGTTGACTGAAGGCTTAATGTGTACTTAAGTGTGTTGAATGTATTAGACGCCCCGCGTTTTTCTGGATTTACGTCAAATAAGAAGTGCATTGCTTGGAAGAATGAAAGAAAGCACGTGCTCTAACTTGCACATATTGAGTACAATAGTGAGACAAAGAAGGGATGGGCGCTCTCTTGCTTTTTTTAGAAAATGTCTCTGAGAACTGAATCGAAAACAATTTTCCAATCTAAAATGCAAATTTATGCAAGAAATTCTGTGTATAGAGTTGATGATATCTTATGTAGTTACAGAGATATTTGCTACTATAACAATCGGAACATTGGTTTTTTATGTCTCTGGAGGAAATTTTCTTCATAGCCCACCCCACATACTTTTCTTATTCAGTTAATTGGTCCTTCTGTATATTTGACAGTTACGCCTTAAGGGTACGCCCCCTGCCCCCGCTTTCCCGGGTTTCTGAAGAATGGCTCATCACAAAATTTTGAAACTTTTGTGTCAGATAGATCTTGTAGTGTATATCAAAAGTTGTGCTAGACTCAAAGTTCCCAAATGCTGTGTTGTATGAGATATCTGGGTCAAAATCGGTAAAAATGATGAAACTTTTCGCCCCCATTTCTCAGAGGCCCTATGTTCGATTGAGTTGACACTTTTTTTGCAGGTACTGGATACTGTTTGGGGTGGCTACTTTTTTTGGTTTCCTTATATTTTTTGTCCTTTCGATAAAAAAGTCGAAATATCGGATGTACCCTAAAAAACTGCTGTTTTTTTACTAGTGCAGTTTTTGTGAAAGCTGCCAAAATCCACCAGTGTAAAATTTCTTGGAATAAAAGAAAGTACCAAGCCCAAACAGTGACTAGTATATGTAAAAAACGTTTCAGCTCGATCCCTCTTACCATGCCGGAGAAACGTGGGCGAAACACTAGTTTTTCTCCTAAAAAATTGATTTTGAGAAAAACGCAAAACAAAATTCACTTTCAATTTTTTTCTGAATACTCATCTTTTTTTTCATCCTTTCTAAGCATTTATAGGTTTTCGACTATTGCGAGTTCGATAGGCTTGTTTTCTACGTTCAGAGAGGACTCTTGTGTGTACCTTGTGAGATGCAAGCAATCAGAGATAAACAACATATCTACTGAAAGTCATCTCGTATTTTCACTTCAATTTTAAGTTTATTTTGATGAACTAGGATGGAAAGCTGTTGTCAGATGCTGAATGGCTGATGAAGAACATAGAACCGTATTCATTTGGATTCTTAGTTTACAACTATGATCCGACTTTTCCAGTTTCATAGATTTATCTTTATTGAAAATAAAACGCAGTATTTTAGTTCTTTGTGAACTACTTAGCCCTTTTTCTTTTCTTTTTTGATCGTGCATTCTGCCCATAAGATCAGATACAGATGAATAATATACTTATTGTTGACTATACATCTCTTTTATTAGTAAAGGAAGAAAGAAAATAAACGAAATAGTCAACGAAAAAATGAAATCATTGAGACTAAACCATTTTGAAGGTACTGAATCTTCAACCAGTGATTCGGAATAGCATTGAATATAAAAACTAATGCATACTACAAAAGTAAGTCGACACTTGCAAATTTTCAATCTCTGCATGCCAATTATATCTCGAAAAACTCGGTCAGTTATCTTGAACTGAAATCGAAAGATGTCTCACGCATCTCGATACGCACCTCTGACGCGGCCATATACTAAAAACGAGATAACTTTAAGTAGATCAAGCGCAAAGGCGAGTTTTTTCGAAAAAAGTGAAAAAATTGCGTTTTTACGATTGGGTGGTCTCAAAAATCGTTATTTTCTAGCCCCAAACGCATTCAAAGGCAGGATTCTTTTTTGCAGATCGATAGAAGACAGTATGAGGTATATGTATCAATGAAAAACAAAAAGTCGGAAAAAAAAAATTTTCACGACCGGAAAGGGGGGGGGGTACCCTTAATCATCTCAAACAACATATTGAATGAGTACGATAGTGGAAATGGATGCACTTTATACCAGACTTGGTTAGTTTTGTCAGTTGCACAATATCCGCGTCACTCACGATCGTTTCGCTTTATTGCTCCTCTCATTCTCTATAAAAGGAGGGAGAACACTGAAAGATATTACAGTTAATATCAGAATGCACTTTTGTCGTTATTTCAATGCGTTAAAAAAGAAAATTTAAAAATCGTGACCTGTAAAGTGCCGTTGTTGCGGAAAACTTACGATGAACTCATTGTACTATACTGTGTGAAGCAAATATTTTTAAAACATTGCTCCCAACATGAATGATTAACTTCAGGGTTTTTCTCTATATCTGTTTTTGGGTTGTCGGAAACGTAGCAGTGTTGCACATAAACTAACGTATGAAAGAGAAAGGAAAATTTGTTCATAGACATGATCTGAAATAGAGACTGATATTTTGAGTCAGTTTTTAAAATAATAAATTTAGTCAATGTATTCGAACACGATTAAATAACTAATAATATAGAATTGGATAAAACTTCGAACATCTCGGAGCCTGATAGCTTATGTTACTAGTTATGGCGTGATAGATATTTCATCAGAAATTGATCCCATTTATTATTTTATCGATATTGAATACATGTATTGTATTCATCTTTAGAAAAATAGACTCCTGTTATGTTCTCTCTTCATGAACATCTGCATTAATAATTTGTCTCTTCGTTTCGTTTGTCTTTCTGTCTAAACATATATGCATAAACTGTCATGTTTCAGATAATAAAAAAGACTCTGTATGGAACAACATCAGCCTAATCACTCGTGAAGGAGATAAATGTTTTCAAAGAAAAATGATTGCCACAACAAGGTATAGTGTGTGCATAGTTTAGAATAGAATTCAGTTATTAAAAAAATGTGCTGTATTGTTTACGAGGATAGAAATAGACATTGAGATGGTATTTCAGTCCCGTGTATGCCTTTACAGATAGCTATAATGCATTTTTTCAAATAGGTATCAAATTAATTGATGCAAATGAAATGAATATAATTCAATTCCGTTAAAAATGGCATGAATAATTATAATAAAAGCATGATAACTGTTTATTGCTCAACTATGTAATAAACGGGAAACGGACAGTTGCTCGCAGGACAGTTGCTCGTCGGACAGTTGCGCGCGGACACTTGCTCGGTAGGACAGTTGCTCGCCAGGACAGTTGCTCGCTAGGACACTTGCTCGTGTGGACACTTGCTCGTGTGGACACTTGCTCGTGTGGACACTTGCTCGTATGGACACTTGCTCGCTAGGACACTTGCTCGTTATAAAATTTGCTCGCTATGACACTTGCTCGCAAATGGGATAATCGTTTAATTGTAATTGATAGAATTCAGAACAAGTGATAGGATTAATTAAACTGCGTCTATAAGCGATTGATGATCATTATCTTCATAATGATTAGTCATATTGAAAGATTATAATCGTGTACATAAAAGTAGTATCAGTTGCACAATACTACATTTTAAAAACAATCATGTCAGTTACTCTTTCGACAACCTCGAGAAATGCTCCTCTACTCATTCATGACGGATATTCTTATATTATTGATCGACGAACCGACAAGAAGATATTATGGAAATGCGAATATTCCAGAAAATTTAAATGTCGTGGGCGATTACATACTGATTCAAACAACATATTTATTCAAACCATTGGTGATCATGAAAATCACATTGGTGATCCACGTTCTGGGCTAATTCGAATATATTATGATCGATTACGACAAGAATCTCTACAAAATCAAACTAATCCGCACAATATTTTAACACAAGCAAATATTGGTGTTCAAGATGAAGTGCGTGTTCAATTAACAGGCAATAATAATTTAAAAAGAAACGTTCGCCGTTGGCGACAAGAAACCAGTACAGCACCAATACCATCAAACATTAATTTTCCAGTTATTCCAGATAAATATTATCGAACAACACGTGATACAATATTTCTTCGTAAAGATACTGGTCCAACTTCAGATCGAATATTAATTTTTTTTACTGATGAACAACAAAGCATTATGGAAAATGCCACCGTAAGTTTTTGCGACATATCTATTGATTATTCAACTTTTTCTTTTTGCAGGATTTTTTCATTGATGGAACGTTTAAAGTTGTTCCAGAAATTTTCTTTCAACTTTTTGTGATCCATGCTCTTTACCGTGACCATGTATTACCAGTATTATTTGTTCTTTTACCGGGCAAAAGTGGTCAAATCTATGAGAAAATGATGAGTGATATAATGCAACTAGTTCCAGGATGGGCTCCTCAAAGAATGATGATGGATTTTGAGAAAGCCTCAATGAACATGGTTAGCAATCGTTTTCCTAGAATCGAACTTAGCGGGTGTTTCTTTCATTTAAGTCAATCCGTTCAACGATTTTTACAAGTAAGTTTATTCTAAATAACTAACATAAATTTTATTTTATTTTATACCTTTGCATTTAGAATAATGGTTTAAAGAAAAACTATGAAACAGATGTTGTATTTGCAGACAACATTCACAAGATATTAGCTTTATCATTTCTTGAACCCAATCAAGTTATTCATGGTTTCGAATATTTATGCTCGAATCTCGGTGATGAATATCAACAAGTTCTTGATTACATGGAGGACAATTATATTGGGCGACTTCGTGGACGCTCAAGACGAGCAGCAACATTTCCTATTAGTTTTTGGAATATGACAGCACGCGTGAAGAATAATATGCATCGCACGAATAATAATATTGAAGCCTGGCATCGAAAATTGAACTGTGCATTTCAATGTACTCATCCAAACCTATGGACATTCATGGATAAATTAATCAAAGAAGAAAACAATATACATTCAGATATTATTAATGCTATGTCTGGTCGTTAACCACCAAAGCGACAAAATGAATCCTTGAACAAACGACTACACAATTTAGTTCAAAATCCACATACTCATGTCCAGGATCAGTTAAAATATATTGGACGTTTATTATCTATGTAACATTTTTGTTAGTTTTCTTCTTCACTTACTATTACTATTGTTGTTAATAAAGAATATCTTTCTGTCTTATTCATATATTTACCCTGAAGTTTTTTTTTCGAGCAAGTGTCCTAACGAGCAAGTGTCCATACGAGCAAGTGTCCTAGCGAGCAAATGTCCTAGCGAGCAAGTGTCCTAGCGAGCAAGTGTCCGCGCGCAACTGTCCGACGAGCAACTGTCCTGCGAGCAACTGTCCTAAACCCAACATTTCATCATGTCTTATCATGTATTCGAATCGACCATGTGTTGATGAAACCACATACTATATCATCATTTGATCATTGTACTGCAGTTTTCATGCACTCCGTTACTATCACAAGATATATGTCTTGCTTAGAAATATAAACGTAAATGGAAGTTGTGACTCAAAAATAGATTGAGATTGCAGCATTGATGAATATGGATATGAGTATGTATGTTTATTTCAATTATTAGTAATTTCGTTACAATTGTATTATTACTTATATATTACTATTTCACACGATACTACAACATCAAGTGTGGCCGTGTTCTCCTTTTCTCCTCGCGTTTACACCACGTGGAAAAGAAAGGAATAAGGGGAACNCCTCGTAGCATGGTGTGAAAGCATTTGCCTCAGCATTTTCTTGCTCTTTTATTGACACAGACCAAAATGAATCAAACAGTTCTCAATCAGTTAAACCACTTTCAAGAATCACATACATTATCCTATTGGTTCTAAAAATAGAAATCTCTATCAAAAAGAATTCGTGGAAAGAGATGGTACAATACGACGAAAGTAGAGTACTCTGGGGTAATTCGGATCACTTCAGAATTTTTTACTACTATCGAAATTTTAAAAAAAGGCAGGTGGAAGAAAGTCGTATAACTTTTCATTGAAAAGTTATATCGATCTGCGGTTTTCAGCGTTCCATAGAGGAGGGTCGGGGGCAGATACCTATCTGGGAAAGTGATCATTCGAAGAATTTTGTTAGGGGAACTTTCGTCGACGAAATTAAGCGTGTATTAGCGAACCTTTTTTAAGGGCTTTTTTTCATGATGTATATACCCAACATACCCTCTTCACATTGGTATCGAAGGAATTTTCTGATTTTCCTTACTGGAAATACTAGGGGTCTTTCAACAGTGAAATTGCATGTAAGGCACTTCTCGCCAAAAAAACGAGAAATATTGAAAATATATTCAGAATACAGATGTTTTTACTATACTAAACAACATGAAACGATTCATTTTTGTATTGATTCGTAATCTTATGTTGAGGTCATGAGTGCATATCTGCAAGAATGCTGAGATTTAAGCTCTTTTCCGAGAGATAATCTTTTTATTTCAGTCTGCTTGATCTTATTATCTTTCTGTTTCTTATCAATGTATTGTGACAATAGACATTTTATTGTCCATAGACAAACACATATCAGATTAAAATAATTAGGAATAGGAAAAGAACTGCTATTCTATATTTTACTACTCGTCATCTGAATCTGTTTCTTCACTGTCAGATTGTAAATGTGGTTCGATATTTTCTTCCATAATTGCATCTGCTGTTTTGAACATTTCTTCAATTCGACGAACATGATGAAAATAGGAAGTTGCACGTTTATCATCCATCGCCACCATAAACTGTTCAATCAGTTGTTTTACATCATCCTGACGAAACGTCATGTTCTGATCACGAACAAATTGCTTCAAATTATTCGATGACAGTTCAATAGGATTGAGGCTACAATGTAGTTTTGGAAGACGAAATATTTCTATACCATATTTCTTTCCGATATGATCACTCTATTCAACGAAACAATGAAGGACAGCTGAGTTCTGAAAACTGGAAATAACTCTTAAAAATGACTCACAATATATTCTTTAGGTGGACAATTAGCACCCACTAGTTGTAACAATTGAGCTTTAACAAATTTTTCCGAAAAATTAATTTTTCTATCTTTCAACCATTGTTGGATTTCTCCTTTTGTTGAAGCACGTTTCGGAATGACTGATTCTTCTGTGAGTTTGTTATAGCAAGTGGCGTTGTCTAGACAAATAGCAATTCTTTCTTTTTCGCGTATGAAGAGGGTATCAGAAATTATTCATGAAAAACACGACTCAAAATATATCAGCTTACCAATCTCTTCTCTTAACGTTGCGCAAGTCGAATCTAACCATGTGAGAAAATGAGTTGAATCCATATTATGCTCTTCGGTGCATGTCAAAATATCAACTGATGGAATGTGATAACCCTTAACGTCTATCAGTGCTGATACTGCCAGACGAGATCCTGTAAACAAGACAAATAATGACACGTAAAAGAAGAATTTACGAGTGAAGTCATGGCTTACTTCTCCCTCCACCTTTTTTTATCTCACCTTCACCATCTAAAGTCCAAATCGATCGTTTAACTTCTCGAAGATTTATCCAAGTTTCATCATGATAGTACAAATGAACGTTAGCTTCTTTGAACTCTTCCAGGGTCTGAAAATATTTCGCTCTTGCTGCAACAAAAGCCTGTGAATCCAATGCAATTTTTATTTTTGATGTTCGTTGATAGACGAAACCAAGCTGAAAAATAGTAAAAGGCGGTGTGTTGTTTTTCTTTCTTTTTTGTCTACATGAAAATAATACTTCACTTACATTTCTCATTTTTCTACGCAACGTACTTGTCGAACGAATAGGAAAATCTTCATATTGCTCTGTCAACCTTTTCAGCAATTTTTCCGAAGTTGGATACACTTTTTCTTGAATTAGTTCATGAAATTCAAGTCTAATCAAATCTTTTCCTTGCTCAGATAAAACGATGTTTGGATGACCAGAATGCACTGAAACGAGAAGAGCTAACTTTGAAAATATTTACGTGAAAAATCTCTTACTTTTCTTCTGAGGAAGCAACGCTTGAGGAACAAGATGGTCGATATGATTTGTTGATGAATAGACAGAAGACGCAGTATGCCGACGACAAAGAATTTTAGCTGATGCATTAGACGTTGAATATTGATGTTCGTTGAGTGTTGGATATACGATAGTGCGACTACGAAGATTTCTCACAATTGTCTCTGCTTTCCTTCTCTCTTCTATCTTCTGTTGTTCCTCTGATATTTTCTTTATTTCTTTACACCTTAAATGGTGTAACTCATGCGTTAGTCTGTACATTGATCTTTCCGAGATATTCAACAATTTAACAAGACGATCTTTCACATTATAAAGAGGAATGATTGGACCACTTTTCTCACTTTCAACAAAATCAATAATATGAAACATTAGTTGTTTCACTTCTTCTAAAAATTCATGACCTGTCGACATTGTAATCAAATAGATTATCTATAAAAGATGGCAAATGCAATTCGAACAGAAAAAGAAAAAAATGACCGAGAGAACCATCGCATACATATATATCACTATTTTTTCTTTCTTTTCTCTATACTGTCATTACATACCGACATACACATACTCAGAGAGTGACTAAGTAGCTTACATGTAAGATTCGAAAAAGAATAAACTATTTCATCTTGTTTAGTATAGTAAAAACATCTGTATTCTGAATATATTTTCAATATTTTTCGTTTTTTAGCGAGAAGTGCCTTACATGTAATTTCACTGTTGAAAGACCCCTAGTATTTCCAGTAAGGAAAATCACAAAATTCCTTCGATACCAATGTGAAGAGGGTATGTTGGGGTATATACATCATGAAAAAAAGCCCTTAAAAAAGGTTCGCTAATACACGCTTAATTTCGTCGACGAAAGCTCCCCTAACAAAATGCTTCGAATGATTACTTTCCCACATAGGTATCTGCCCCGACCCTCCTCTATGGAACGCTGAAAACTGCAGATCGATATAACATTTCAATGAAAAGTTATACGACTTTCTTCCACCTGCCTTTTTTTAAAATTTCGATAGTAGTAAAAAAATTCTGAGGTGATCCGAATTACCCCAGAGTACTCTACTTTCGTCGTATTGTACCATCTCTTTCCACGAATTCTTTTTGATAGAGATTTCTATTTTTAGAACCAATAGGATAATGTATGTGATTCTTGAA